TAATAGTATAGTATAATACAGTTATTATTAATAATATTTTTTATGATTTCTACATCATTTTTTTCACTATGTTGCCAACATGTACAGTAATGGTAAATCCAGAGTCTTGCCCATTCTGCTTAGTGTCGTAGCTTCTACAGTAGATCGCATGGGCACATGGTCCAAACTCAATCCAGTTGTTACATCCATGTTTTAGGTTTTTTTTTTCTTTTTTTGTTTGTTTATTGTTTATTTTGGCAGCAGCTGCGTCGGCACCCTTCAACATTTCTTCAGAGATGTTCTAGTCTACCAAAACCCAGCCACTTGTTCTTATTCTGAAAACATCAGGAGCTTTGGGACGTCTGTGAGTTTCACACAATTTGAAACTGATCTGGTTTTATTTGTTGAGATGGGGTGAAGCAGAGTCCTGCTCTGAAGCTAACTGACAAATCAAATGTTAGATTTAAGAGTAAACCATCTTTACAAATAATGTTAGATAATAATAATGATGAGCTTGTGGGACGCGACGGATTAAAAACAAATGCAAATTTAGTTTCTGAGGAAAAGACGTCTGCATGTTTGATTTGTATTTTTCACTGTCAAACTCATCGTTAGGCACGTTAATGCGCAGCTGCTGTGTGTGTGTGTGTGTGTGTGTGTGTGTGTGTGTGTGTGTGTGTGTGTGTGTTCATGCCTCACTCTTTTGACTGAATCAAGAGCTCTCCACTGTGCCCTATCACATCGTGCCCCCCACCCCCAATGAAATTGATTTGCAGGTAATTAAAAGCGTGTGTCTGGATGTGGGCCAACTTCATGTTCTATTCATGCAGATTAATACATATTTGTCGTCGCCTGTGGGGGCTTAAAGGCATCTGTCTGTGCCATTAAACATTTATGAGCATGCAAGACACAGACAGGCAGAGAGTCGTTCGGCAGCACTTTAGCCCATCCTTCTCATATCGGCACACATCTTAATGGAGAGCATTAAATCAGAATGGCCAAACAGGGAATTTCACAATGACAATGGCATTCATCACGCCTCGGTTTTAGAGGGAGAAAATGTCCCCTCAGACCCTTTTTCACCACGAGATCCCATCACTCTGTGATGCTCATTGCATGCTTTCTCACAAACAACCTCATCCACCATGCATCTGTGTTCATGAGTGCTTTAATGCCTTTTTGACAGAACAGCTGCTTTACATGTGAAGCTAGTTTCAAAATTAGACTTTTTTTTAAATATCAGTGTAACCAGATAGCACCTGTAACTTCTTTGTTCTTTGCATGTGACCTCAGTTTGTATGAGATGGGCATGAGGACCAGAAGACCAGAAGAATGTGTTCATGTTAAATATATAAATAAAACATCATAACAGCCAGGCTTTACGTTTTCCAGTAAGATTTTAAGAAGTTCCGATTCCTCTGAGTTATTTGGACTATAGCTGGAGTGCGACAGCCATTTTGAAAAGCTGTGACTCCAAAAGCTGTGTAGTCAATGATTGTTGTTTAAAGGGCATTTTCTGTGGAGTTCTGGTGCCGGTCCAAGCTTGGATACCCTGAGGGTTGGTCAGGAAGCCCATCCAACTAACTTGCAGATGTATGACTGCTTGGCTGAATCAGTCTGGGGTCGACACAGCAGGATGTCAGGAGGTTTGGAGGCAGGGAATCCACGTGGTGACACCTAATGGCAGAGCATCCAATCATTACTTTTTATGCTTCGACAGACTCCCATTTTAAGCAGAAATGTGAAGCCTCAGAGTATGAGTTAGGGATTACACAACCCATTCTTACTCTCAAGTCGTCACATATTGATGCTTTTCCAAGGATTCCTCTGCGTCCGGTTTTGACACGTCAGGTACCACCCTCGTGTCATTTATTGATGAGATGGGGTGGAATCCTTTGGCATAATTTCAGAAAGTGTAGAAAATGCACAAAAACTAACCATCCCAAAGCTTAAAATTACCTTTATTCACTCTAGATATCCTGTCCCTGACCCTAGTACCTAAAATTAACCATCAACCCTGATCCCTAAAATTAACCATTTTTAGAAAGTGTAGGAAATTCACGTCAACTACGTGTTCCAAAGCCTAAAATTACCTGATATTCGCCCTAGATGTCCTATCCCTGACCCCACTACCTAAGATTAACCATTAACCCTGATCTCTAATATTAACCACGGACCCCAACTCAAAGACCCCAATGTTTTGCATCCCAACGCATCAAACCCGGATGTCGAGGGAACCCGGAAATACCTGGTGTGTCAACAACTCTGATGAACTGACAGGATACAGTAGTGCTGTTGGACCACTGGACCTTTTGTCTGGCCGTGTGTCTGTTAGAAATCTTGGGGTGATTTTGGATTCTGATTTCAAATTTAAAGAACAGGTCAGCTTTTATCATCTGAGACTTATAAGTAAAATCAAGGATTACCTGCCTCATAATGCACTTGAGAGGGTTATTCATGCTTTTATCACTTCTAGACTGGACTACTGCAACTCCCTTTATTGTGGGATGGATCAGTCTTTGGTTCGTCGTCTACAGCTGGTTCAGAACTCAGCTGCCCGTTTATTAACAGGGACAAGACGTCACGAACACATCACTCCGATCTTATATTCTCTTCAGTGGTTGCCTGTTTTTTTTAGAATTGTTTTTAAGATTTAGTTTTTAGTTTTTAAATGTCTAAATGGTTAGGCACCTCATTATCTTACTGAGCTTTTACAGCCTCACATTCCAAATAGATCCCTGAGATCTGTAAATCAAAAGCTTTTAGTTGTGCCCAGGTCTCGGCTTGTGACCAGGGGAGACGGAGCCTTTTCAGTTGCAGGACCTCGGCTCTGGAACAAYCTCCCACTGTCTGTGAGGTCTGCTGGGTCTCTAAATGAGTTTGTCTCTGTTAAAAACTCATGTGTTTAAACATGCATTTGAGTCTGAAGAGCAGGATCATTAGGCCAGCCTTTGCTGTTTTGTTTGATTTTATTGTCCATTTTATTACTGTACATTGCTCATTGTTTTTATTTTATGCTCTTGTACAGCATGTTGGGTTTTATTGTGCTTTATAAATAAACAATGATGATGATGATGATGATCTTATGAGTTACAGCCATGTTTGTCTTTTCTAAGGTCACTTTGCTGTTCGTCTCACATTGGGTCGGCTCCAAAACGTACTCGTCTTATGACTCCTTTTTGTGTGTGTGTTTCCAGGTGGCTGGAGTGTGTGGGGACAGTGGGTGCAATGCAGCAGTGACTGTGGAGGTGGGATCCAGACCCGCACTCGGACCTGTCATTCCCCTCCAGAGGAGTCCTTTCTGTGTGAGGGGGTGGTGGAGGAGGGCCGGCCGTGCAACTCTCAGTCCTGTTCGGGTAAGCCCCTCATCCTCTGTCTTCATCTCTCAGCTGAAACGTGGCGTGTGTAAAAGTGATTTTAGTTTTTGTGCTGTTCCACTCTGTTTTAATTAAAGGGCTCAGGTCAGGGCTCTTTGTGCTTGTCACATAATGTTAGACAAAGAAAATGTCTTTCACTCAAATGACAACAGATCAGGAATGAGTAGCCCGTACATAATTTTGATGTCTCCACATTTTTAGGACTGTTTATTACATTTTATTTATTTTTTGATCAGCTGTTTATCTTCCTCCTGCGATGTATCAACATTTCTTTTTTGAACACCTAAACTTACTTTTTGACAAAATCCATGCTGATCTGTTCAAATACTCAATGATCTCATCTGAGCAGAGGTGCAAGGAGGCATTAGATGGTCAGTAAGCACCACTCTAAGGCCTGAAACAATGAGAATCCAGACAGGAGAGAAGCCATTAGTTAAGTTTTCAAAATAATCTTTTTAGTTTCTATACCCTCTATTGATCAGCCTTGTAAACCCAGGATCACGTCTCATCATGGTCACAGCTCTGGCCCACGTGTGTTTACCAACCAGCTGAGTCTAGTCCTGACTCAGGTCTCCTGTGCAGAGCCTTAGATTTGTGGACAGGTGGTTTAGATTCTCTGAACATTCCTCATTGCTCTGACCTGCAGACACACCGCTCAGTTTGGGTTTGAGGGTTTTGTTTTTTACGATGGACCAGCCTCTGTCTGAGAGTCCTGTTGAGTTCAAACTGTCCCAGGATTTTGTGTTTAGAGAGTTTTTCAGACCCTCCAGCAACACATGGGATAAGGATGCTTTTTGATGTCCATTCTTGTCCTTGTTCTGTTCTGAGGAGTGTTGTTTGGAGTTTCTCTTACTTGTTGAAGATCCAGTTAGGATCTCCACAGGTTTGGAGTTTTGTTGATATGTTTATTTTATTATTATTTTTTTCCCATTCATGTTGGACCTGATGGCGTAAAGCTTTGATGACAAAACAGCTTGTGTTCCAGTGGGTGCTGAGAATCAAACAGAAGGTTCTGATCTTTTGTGAACAGGTCTCCTGTAAACTTTAATGTTGAGGCACCCGTCTGTCTCCATGTCCACCAGACAGTCCAGAAAAGACAACTTGTTGTTGACATCCTCTCTGGTAAAGCTGGTTTTGTTATTGACAGAGTGGACATGTCTGGTGAAAGGTTTTACATCATTAGCTTGGACTTGGACCCAGTATTGTCCACATTCCTGAACCAGTGGCTCGGTGTTGTTTTCTTAAAGTCTGCTTACAAGTACTAGGATATGATCTCCAGCCCAGTTTCCTAGGTTAGATTAATGTTTTCAAATGCTCTTACCTTGTTCTGTACTAAAATAAATGGGATTGTGGAACACTGGATACACATTTTGTTTGGTTAGTTAGGGTTAGCAGTTAAGGTTAGGGTTAGAGGTTAGGGTTAGGTAAGGCAGCTGCACACTCAGCAGACATCCTGCCTCTCAGGCTTCACAACACAACAAAAACAAACAATCAAACTGTATTTCTGCTTGATTGTTAATGTTTTGCTATAATCATGTTGAAGGGATTCATCCTTTCTCGAAGATTGCACCCTTTTAATTAAATCTAAGTTTAACAGCACCAAAATTAAAATCACATGCAGTCTACTTAATATTCCATCACATGAGCTATTAATTTGATCAGAAGTTTTCTTACTAACTCTGTTTCTAAGTGTAGTGTGTATCTGAGCAAAGGGGACTTTGATAGATGAAAAATAAGAACTGGCCTACCTTCTATATGACCATGAATTCACAGGTTTTTCAGTCATTACACCCACAGAAGACTGAAGTGACTCAGTCAGTGCATGTCTGAGTGTTTTAGTCGAGGGAGTGTTGCTGCTTTCACTGAACTCTTAAGTTTTGAGTAGAATGAGTGATATATTTCTCTCCTGCAACAGGAAGTCCTTGCATGATGAGTTTATGTAGATTTGTTTCCCCATTAGCCGCGCTATCCGAGGCACTTAAAGACTAAAACACATCAACACATTACAACCAACAACACAAGTCCCAAGTTTGGCTGATGCTGTTTTGGGTGACCGATCTCGTCACGGTTGTGTCCCAAATGTAAGCCTTTTGATAAAGGATCTCTGGTTGCTAACCCACCCACCCCCTCCCCCCCTGGCCTTGCCTCATCCTCCTTTAGGCAAAGGTCACCATCTCTCTCGCAGCCAGTCACTTCGTTCGCTGGACAACCGCAAGCGCGATGATGCAGACAAGCCCCGCAGCGGACAGCAGAGTCCTCAGACAGGTAAGACAACGGGACGCAGAGGGATCCCATGCATCAGTCACTGTGGCAGCTTGGGTTACCACCAGACCACCTAATGTCCCTTTTCCCCTAGTGCCACTTAGTGTAGTGTCGGTACGGTTCGGTACATTTCCAAGCCATTTCCACTAGGCCAGATTCATGGAACCAGCCCTTTTTTAGTACCTACTTCATTGTGGTTCCAAGTGGTCCTAGTCAACACTAAAATGTGACATCAGAACACTGTTCGTCGCTGAATGGCAAGGGGGTGGAGTCACTGGTTGCGTCTAAGCTGCCATTACGACTCAAGGGGCCATTTTTTCAATTGTAGCAGTGACATTAATTGTGTTTCCATCAGTTTTAATTCAAATTTTTAGCATTTTTTTTAAATTTCAGAACTTATTCGGCAAATGTGTTTCCATCTCTCATTTTGCGCATTAATTTTTTTTCCAAAAAACCCAAAAACCACCTCCACCAACTGCCCAAAACACACCCACTGGAACCGGCCTGAAACGTCAATGGAAAAGCACCTGAACTGACCCGTTCTGACACTACACTAAGTGGCACTAGTGGAAGAGGGGCATAATATTCACATCTATCAAAATCTCCCATAGCCATGCTGTTTCTACAGAGGACTACTGATGAGTACTTCATTAAACTGAGTCCTTCTGTTCCTATGAAGTGAGAAAACACCTAAAGTCAGATTAGTACTTTAGTACTTAGATTTGACAGACAGCTGGAGCTCTAAAATTTATTTCTGATCACAACACATCATGAGCAGAACACATACTAAACTTTCTGAAGAAATGTTGAAGGGTGCCAGAGCAGCTTCTGCCTAAATGATCCAACTTTCATGAACTTTTTTTTCTAAAGACCAATAGTAATTTCAAACTTTTTTTTGTAATATGGCTAATAATCATTTTTATGCATCTATGTTTGATGTAGGCGATATGACAAATTGAAAGTAGCCTTTGCTTCCATATTAGAAGAGAAAATAGAATGGAAGTAAATAAAGCATTGGATGATATAGCATGCTAGTTATATTTCTATTGAGAAATCTTCACAAATTTAGTCTCCGTTGTACAATGTAATGTTTTAATAACATTCTGATAAACCACATATTTTGATGCATTAGAGTAGTAAATCAGAAATTGTAAGAAAGTATTTGATTCAGTGCTTATGATGTGGAAACTTTAATAATTATTTGGCAAACAATAGTTTACGTATCTGTCTGTTTAGGAAATAGTCTCATTAAATCAGGTTGTCTCAGAACTTCACTCCCTCAGCCAACGATGAACACGACAAGTTTAAAAGACAAAGTGTTGCTGCTCCATGCGTAGCATACAAACAGTCTTATATTTATTTTTTAAACGAAGTCTAATTAAAAATGTGTTGCCAAACGTTGAAGCATTTTTCTTTTTACTCATGAACAGAAACTGAGCTCAGGTATCCTTATTTTACCTTCAGTCCAATCTGCATGTTTTCCTTTTTCTGACACTTGTGCCGTTTGCTGTAGCAGTCGAAATGTTTGTGACATAGCAGCAGATATTAGTTTAAATGGTACAAACAGTTTCTGGTCAAAATCGTTGTAAGGAAACAGACATTGAGTGAGGTGCCACTTCCACTTATCTGTTGCCTGTTTCCTGTTTAGGATTCCTCCCCTTCCTCACCCACCCATGACATCCCATTTTTATTCTTAATTGGTTTAGTGACCCGTTAAATCAGCAGAGTCTGAAAGAGAAAAGATGACTGACATATCCTGAGGCAGTGGCATTCACTTCCATGTGGAGTCGATGCAAAGGATATGACATCAGGAGAAATCTGAGGTCCATTTCAGCGGCTGCCTTCTTTAAAATGGGGTGATGGACAAATTTGGAGGAACCATTAGAGCTTTGGCCTCTGTGGACTTCCCAGATGAGAGGGAATGCATCTAGGCTTCTTACAGTTAACGTTCAAAGGACAAAGGTCTGAAACAACCAGCAACAAGCACATTATTTTCATTACATTTGTTTACAACTTCCAGCTAAAAGAAATTGTTCTCATTGCTGTTGTTCTGTCTGTTGGAGAGTGGCTGGTGTATATGATGTAGCCCTCGGACACACCAGCATGTGGTGATTCTTAGACCCATCTTCAGTCGCAAAAACATTCAACCTTTGATGAAGGCAGCTTCTAAAATGTAGCTCAGGCAGAAGCTACGATTGGAGGCGTCGCAGCCCTTCCTCCACAGAGACTTCGTCCTGCATGATAATTAGCTATGCCCACCCCCCTTTTCTTTTCCTCCTTTCTCCCCCTGCCCCATCCTTTACTTATCCCTTCTTGCCCAGTAGACTCAGCTTCAGGTGAGGAGTGGTCATCGTGGAGTGTGTGTTCTGCCACATGTGGGGAGGGCTGGCAGAGTCGCACTCGTTTCTGTGTGTCCTCCTCCTACAGCACCCAGTGTAGTGGGCCACTGCGAGAGCAGAGACCTTGTAACAACTCAGCTGTTTGTGCAGGTAAGCCCTCGCCCCTGCATTCACCCTGTCCTGTCCCCTTTCAGTGCCGTCCTGGTCCTCTTCCCGACCTCGCCTCACTCACAGATAACCTACCTGACTCAGCTCTACAGTCCAACAGGGATGCAAGGGATTTACTTTCTGTTTACTCGCAGTATCATAACTGGCAGATGGCTATTCAGTTATGGAGGGTATTCTCAGAAGAATGTCTGCAGAGTAATGAAAGTGTTATTTCCAGTTATTCCCTGTTGTTGTCTGGATTCCAGGCTCTTGTGTTTGTCTGATGAGTTTGACATTAGCTGCTCTGTTGGCAGTGCATGGTGCGTGGGATGAGTGGTCACCATGGAGCTTGTGTTCATCCACCTGTGGGAGAGGCTACAGGTTCCGGACACGAACCTGCACACCCCCGCAGTTTGGGGGAGACTCCTGTGACGGACCAGAAAAACAGACCAAATTCTGCAACATTGCTGTCTGTCCAGGTGAGCAAACAACCAGAGATGGAATCTTTAATGCATTTAGATACATACTGTATGTATACAGTAATCTTATCTGGACCTTTATGATCAGCTACAAATACTAACCTTTTATTTTATTACAGTTCATTTAATGCATAATCAGTATCACAGTGAATTTTATCTCTACTATAATAACTAAACCTTTTTAAAGAAAACTAAACCCAGGAGTTGATGACTAACTAGAAATCTCTAGAGCAGAGATTCTTAACCCATGGGCTGTGGCCCAATTGTGGGCTGCGAGCGCCACCTTGAGGGCCTCAGAAGAACAACAGTTTTTAAACTTGGGCCGCAGAGGGCCGTGGGACCACATTGATTTTGAATAAGGTGCAATACACTTTCCCACCACTAGTAGCAGTACTGTGCCCTTCAGTTGTTTAAGAACTTTTTTTAATATGTAGAAGAAGAACCTTAGAAACCTGCCGAGAATGGAAACTTGTTTTAAATTAAAAATAGAAGCAAAAATGAAAGTAACTTGTCAAAAAACACCGAAGTTTGTCACTAATATGAAGTGTAGCATCTGTTTTTACCATGCAATATTTTAAAGGTTCAAAACATTATCAAATAC